TCAAATATCCCTACCGGTTGCTTTACCGACCGGTCGGCCATTTGCAATCTCATACTAGTAGGCCTTCGTATCCACAATCCCGCTTGCTTGTAGATAGAAAAAGACATTAGGTTTATGCTAGCCCCATTGTCTCAAAGAGCTCTTGCAAAATCACACAAACAAATACTTCATGGAATAGTGAAAGCTCCTGGATCTTTTTTCTTTTGAATGGTGGTTGTTGAGATAATGGAGCTAATCCATAATCTTCTAATTGGTGATCAAATCTTTCAAATATTTACCAAACCTGGTTCTTAGCACACGTTCATTGGGCACAATTGTTAATAATCAAAACTCAATTCTCAACACCACAAAACAACATAAGAAACAAGCTAAAATGCTTTAAAAGATAAGCTAAAGTCTATGAAATTTATGTTGAAAGTGCCGAATTTCTACGGCACATCACGGATCCATGAGAAACCTTGTGAGACTCAAACTATCTCAAGTGACTTCTTGCTAATCAATCATAATTTTGTCTCTGTGTTTACACCTAACATGCTGTATATATATCCCTTTTGACTGTTGACACTCATATACTGTGAAATATGGTGAAACAGTGTGTAATAGTTCAGCCTCTACACTTAAAAGTTCAAACATATGCTAGGTTTAGTCAGTAGTGTATTTATAAAAGAGAACAAAAGAATTACTATACACTTTGTTCCTTAAGTACATTTCTACTTAAATTGACGTTTACAATTTTAGCAAGTGATTCTTTATAATACCAGAACTTTAATAAGTCCCCTACTCCTTCATATATTTCATGGTACAATGCTACTTCGAACATCTTTGATCTACTTCTAGCTGGTTTACTTTATTTGGAAGGTGAAAATTGGTTAGGGAAATATTAACAAAAGGCAAGAGATAGGGGATTTAAGAATTTTGAAGTGGAAACTTCTACAAAGAACGCATTGACTTAAGAGAAACAACCCTGTAAAGAATGTATTTAGAAGCCCGACGAACTCAAAACATGTTTAACAGAAGCATCCGTGGAATATTTTTAAAGAGTGCGGTCATCCTTAACCTTGAGTCCATGTGATCTCTTCTTTGGTAGTAAAGTAGCAAGTGAATCATAAAATTAGAAAAAGGCACTTTCAATTGTATGGTAACCACTTTCTCAATTCCCCTAGATCAAGATAGAATTATTAGGGTTTGATTTTCTACTATAACTAGAATTACTCTTTTTTGGTGAAAAGATTATCTTTGTGGAAAAGAATTTTTAGTGGAATAGGTCTCTTCCATATTTGACTAATCCTTTTCTTGGAGGTGAAGTTTCGCACTTTTATAAATTGAGGATGTTTTCTTCTCATACGAAAATACAATAGCATTCATAATATAGTCCTTTAGAGTTTTGAGAGTCTTGGTTAGGGGAAGATTTCTCTCTCGATATTTAAGTACTCTCTTTTATGAATATAGGTCAATGACCAAACTAATAGAAATACAACAGTCCAAGCCCAATCTACGGATCCAGCCCAAGTCAACCCTTCAGAGACTTGATTTGTTACAGCTGGGTATAGTGTGTCCTTTATAGTCTTTTCACATGACTTTATATTGTAAATACATATAGGATATTTTGGATAGAAGGTTCCACATAGTTCATTTTTCTGATTACATAGAATAAAATAATATTTGTCTTTCTTCTTCTCAATTTGGGAATCTCACCCAATTTCATTTCTCAAATTCCCTCGATTTTATGATATTATCATGGTATCAGAGCTTGGAACCGTGTAGTTGTCGACCCGCTGTTCATTCTGATGTTACCCTTGAATGATTTTGTTGGAGTTTTTGGCGCCCAATAATTCTAGGGTTTTTTGTTCTGGTGATTTCCCAATTTTTGCTAATTTTTGTTCTTCTACGGTTACCTCTAGTTGATTTCTGGTGCTTTTCTTCTGCTTCACGGTGATTTGATGATATTATCTGGGTTTTCTAGTATTGCTGGTAGTATTGAAGATTTTTACTTCTTCGGCCGGTACATGTCATTCCTTTTTTTTCTTAAGTCCCTGCATTGAGTATTTTTGTGTGTGCGAATTAGTTCTGATATGGGGAGTGTGACTAACAACTCGTCTGGTCAAACGAGTCGGACTTCTAACACCGACGGTTTTGATGATATCTCTATTCCTCCGTCTCATCCATTTTACGTTCACCCGTTAGACAGTCCTGGTACTCAATTGGTGTCTGTTCCATTCAATGGAAGTGGCTTTGTTACTTGGAGGAAAAACATATTAATTTCGCTTTCTGCCAAAAATAAGTTTGGGTTGATCAATGGTAGGGTTTCTTAGCCAGCACCTGATTCCACTTACTATCCTTTTTGGGGGCGTTGTAATGACATGATAATTGCTTGGATTACTAACTCTTTGTCCGTGACATTGCGACAAGTGTGTTGTATTTTAATACTGCCAAAGAAATTTGTACTAACATCAATGAAAGGTTTGGAGAATCTAATGGGTCTAAGTACATACAAATACATAAGGAAATTAATTCTCTCTCACAAGGATCTTCCGACATTGCGTCCTACTTTACTAAACTGAGAAGCATGTGGGATGAGCTTTACACAGCTTAGGTAGGACATGTTTGTTCGTGTGGGATATTACCTAAATTCCTTGAAGATCAAACACTTTTTCAATTTCTTAGTGGTCTCAATGACTCCTACTCTACGGCTAAGAGTACCATTTTGATTATGTCTCCCTATCCTAAAGTAAGGCATATTCCATGTTGCAACATGATGAAAAATAAAAGGAAGGTTCTTCTACTGCATCTAACCTCTTAACCGATTCCATGTCCTTTGTTGTGTCCACCCATAAAACCACCAACAATAGACATTTCAATCAACGTGTGAGTTTTGATTCTAAGAAATCTGCCACAGGAGTTTCATGCAAGTATTATAAGAAAGTGGGACGCACAATTGAAAAATGTTACAAGTTGCATGGGTATCCATCTGACTTCAAGTTTACCAGGGGCAAGAGGTCAGTATCTTGTGTCCAGACTGAGGGTTCCAAGACTGAGGGTTCCAAACCAGAATGTTGTTCACCCACACTGCTGAAGTCAATCCCCATGGATTTAGTAACGAACAATACCAGCATCTCATGTCCTTGTTCCAACAAGTCCATTTGAGTCAAGTTGGACAAGACTCTTCTGGCAGTGCCTATAACTCTGCAAACTTTGTAGGTATGCTGAGTAGTCCTGCTGTAGGACTACTATAGGAACTCTTTTGTGTTACTTGTCCCAGTTCAAAAGTGATTCCTTGGATTTTAGATCCAGGGGCAACTAACCACATCACACCTCATAAACATTTACTTTCTGATGTTTCTCCTCTACCTTTTCCTAAACTTGTCACTCTTCCTAATGGTTACAAAGCAAAAGTAGTCTCCTCTGGTTCATTGTTTTTGAACTCTGATATTACTTTACATGATGTCTTGATTGTACCATCTTTCCAGTTTAATCTTATTTCTGTTAGCCAATTACTTGATCAAATTCAATGTTCTTCTGCTCTTTTTACCAAATATTGTTGTACTTTGCAGGGCCCTTCTCTGAAGAGGCCACTGGCAATTGATAGAACTGCGAATGGACTTTACATCCTTCATTCTGAGGCTCATACATCCCATGCTCCATCGCCTGTTGTTTCAGTATCTTTTCCTATTCCCCTTGTAAATAGTTCTCATTCATGCACTGATATCTCTTGTTCTAACAGCAATGTACATTCTGTTGATATGAATAAACATGATGTTTTCTAGCATCAAAGAATGAGTCACATGACTTATAATAGAATGTTGTCTATTCCTTTTCTTATGAATAAACTTTTATCTAAACAATCTTTTATTTGTTTTGTGTGCCCTTTGGCAAGACAACGAAGGTTACCCTTTTCAGATAGTACCATAAAAATTAGTGTACCTTTCCAGCTTATACATATTGATCTTTGGGGACCATATTGTGTTAAAACCTACAATGGTTTCAGTTATTTTCTCACCATTATAAATTACTATACTAGAGTCACATGGACACATCTTCTCTCTTGCAAGAGTAATGCCTTATCCATTATTAAAGCTTTTGTTCTCATGGTTAAGAATCACTTTCAATATTTTATTCAAACCATACGATCCGATAATACGTATGAGTTGGGCAGCAGCTCTGAAGCTTCCTACTTTTTCTCTCAATCTAGCATATTACATCAAACTACAGTTTCTCATACTCCTCAACAAAATAGAGTGGTTGAGAAGAAACACAAATATCTGCTTCAGACCTCTAGGGCTCTATTGTATCAGTCTAAACTTCCTTTGAAATATTGGGGTGATTGTGTGTTAACTGCTACGTATCTCATTAATTGATTTCCCTCTTCAGCTTTACAGAATATTTCTCCTTTTTAAAAATTACATGGCTCTCCCCCATCCTATGATCATTTAAAGTCTTTTGGTTGCCTATGTTTTGCTACTCTTCCCAAGCAGGGTAGAACCAAACTTCAACATAGGGCAGCTGCTTGTGTGTTTTTGGGGTATCCCTTAGGGAAAAAGGGATACAAACTTCTCAATCTTTCATCTTACTCTATCCTTTATTCCAGGGATGTCATTTTCCATGAGATTGTCTTTCCATATCATTCTTCTTCTCCTCCTTCTACTACTATTTTATCTTCTCCTCCTTGCTCACCTTTTATTGAGCTTCCACCTTCTGCCTTCTCTCAACCATCCCCTTCATTATCTACTCCTGTTCCGATTCCTCCTCCATCTGTTTCTCCTACTCCTTTTCCTTTTTCACCTACTCCTTCACATGTTTCTCATTCATACACACCCTTATCAACATCACTTCCTGAACCTCCTCTTAGGAAGTCTCTCAGAACTTCCAACCCAGCTTCTTATCTTCAAGATTATGTTTGCTCTCATGTTGCTCCTTCTTCTAAGGTCATTTCTGCTGGGATTCATATACAAGAGCCTCAGTTTTACCAGTAAGTTGTCTCTAATTCTGCTTGGCAAGAGGCTATGTTGAAGAAGTTTCAAGCTCTTGATGCAAATAGGACTTGGGACATAGTCCCTCTTCCTCCAGGTAAGAAGGTTATACCTTGTAAATAGGTGTATAAAGTTAAACAGAAATCAGATGGCTCCATTAAGAGGTACAAAACTAGGTTAGTGATAAGGGGGGATTCCCAGAAAGAGGGTGTGGACTATATTGAGACATTTTCTCCAGTTATTAAAATTACCACCATTAAATGCCTTCTCTCCATTGCTGCCAAAAAGGGTTGGACTGTTTTTCAATTAAATGTCAATAATGCTTTCTTGCATGGTGACTTGCACAAAGACGTTTATATGCATGTCCCTCCTGGTTTAACTGTGACATCAACTTCCTCTACCTCTCATTCCTCTACCTTAGTCTGCAAACTTAGAAAATCCCTTTATAGCTTGAAGCAAGCCTTTAGGCAGTAGTTTTCTAAGTTGTGTGAATTCTTATTGTCTAAAGGGTATGTCTCTAGCAAAAATAATTATTCCTTGTTTACTAAGTGTATTGGAGATTCTATTATTGTTGTAGCTATTTATGTCGATAATATTTTGCTAGTCAGGACTGATACAGTTGAAATGGTAGCCCTTAGATCCTTTTTGGACTCTCAGTTCAAAATTAAAGATCTTGGACCAATATACTATTTATTGGGCCTTGAAGTTCATCAGACACCTCATGGTTACCGTATCAACCAGTTGAAGTATACACATGATCTATTTCATGAGTTTAATTGTTGCTCCTTGACTCATGTTCTCACCCCTTTAGACTTCTCAGTCAAGCTCTCTCTTAACGAATGTGATTGTCTTCCAGATCCTTCTGTATATAGACGGCTTCCAGATCCTAGGGTCCCTCACATGCTCAGTGATATTCATGTTTTGCGATACTTACTGAATGATCCTGGGCAAGGCATCTTATTAAACAACTCTCCAGATTTTTCTTTGGTTGCGTATGCTGATTCTGATTGGGCTGCTTGTCCAATTTCCAGAAGGTCAGTTATTGGGTTTTACATCACACTTGGGGGTTCTCCTATCTCTTGAAAATCCAAGAAGCAACCAATAGTCTCTCTCTCTTCTGCAGAAGCAGAGTATCGCGCTCTGCGCAAAGTGGTTGTTGAGGTGTCTTGGTTGATCAGAATTCTTCATGATCTGGGGTGTCCAGTTACTAAGCTTGTCCCTGTATTCTGTGATAGTCAATCTGCCATTCACATAGCCAAGAATCCAGTCTTCCACGAGCGTACGAAACACATTGAAGTCGACTGTCACTATGTGCGTGACATGCTTCAGTCTGGGACTATTTCTCTACATCATGTTTCTTCTGCTGATCAACTTGCTGATCTTCTGACTAAAGCATTATCTGGAGCTCCTCACCATCATTTGTTGTCCAAGCTTGGTGTCTAGTCGGCCTCCAGCTTGAGGGGGCTGATAGAAATACAACAGTCCAAATTCAATCTACGGATCCGGCCCAAGTCAACCCTTCAGAGACTTGATTTGTTACAGCTGGGTTTAGTGTGTCCTTTGTAGTCTTTTCACATGACTTTATATTATAAATAAATATAAGATATTTTGGACATAAGGTTCCATATAGTTCATTTTTCTGATTACATAGAATGAAATAATATCTCTCTTCCTTCTTCTCAATTTGGAAATCTCACCCAATTTCATTTCTCAAATTCCCTCGATTTTATGATGTTATCACAAACCTCATATGATATTATATTTTGGTATAATTTTATTTTTGCCGTAAGATTTATCATTGTCAAGGTGTACTTTGTTACCTTCCGTATGTTATCTTGTTATTTCGATCCCAACAAGAATATCATCCAATATTAGAGTAGGAGGATAGATCACTTGTTCCTTTATGACTAATCTGATCTAAATTCTACGCGGAATGTGTTGCAAATTGGTGATCTCTCTCCTTTTTTTTTCCTCTCTTGAAAGCTCTAATTTAATGATTAGATCACTCTAAATTACTATAAACATCCAATTAATGACGTTTTCGGTTATAGTAATAATTGATTGATTGGATTTTTGATGTCTAATTGAGGTTGTATCTTCTATCTTTGCTTTGTGAACCTAGTTTGATAGTTAATATATAGATTGAATTGAACATGTCGAATGTAGAGAAATCTAATTCAAAAGCCAGAATTTTCTTATTTTATCTCTTCTTCTACTAAACACTTTTGGAAGGGTTTTTGGGAGCTCCATTCAATCCAATTACCAATAGCCTGGAATTAAAGAGAAAGGTGTATTGGACTTCGAGAAGTGATTTATTTCACCATTAAACAATCCTTGGGAAGAGCCAAGTTGTATCAAAGAATTCTTGAGTGGGACAAACTTGAAAATGTAATATCCTTGACTACTGAAAACTTGATTTCAACATGCTAACAGTGGCCAAATAACTGATAGCTGATATAGTCTATTTTACATTTGTATCGAGTCTTTACTTTTCTAGACACATTAACTTGTCTTGTGCTCATATTTGTAATTTGTGCTGGTTGTATATAAGGATCCAGAATACGGTTAGATTCATTTCATTTTACTGAAATAAAAATACTTGTTTCTTGATGTCTAGGGTTTTTGTCAAATTCGTTTCCGGAATTCAAATTTAGTGATTGAACACGTTATAGCACGATTGGTACATGTATGTAGTGCATTTGCTGATAGGAAGAAATTAAAGGAAGCAGCTATGATGTATATATGGGCTAAAATACTTGTATGAACCTAGCTGATAGGGTGTCAAGACAAGATGTCGTGATAAATTTCACAGTAATCGTACACAATAATACGTATATATATGGTTTAGAAATCTTTGTTTGAGATCATTTTCATGTATATATACATGACTCTCTTGTGTGTTACAGTTTGCAATTTGCATATATGATGCTAATGTGTTACCGTTCGTGGTTCTCATGTCATACTTTAATGCAAGCATTAGACAACTTTTTGTATTAGTAAGAATTACTTTACTAAGTAACAAATTCATAACTACTTCTTACATTGTTGCTCAACCAAAAAATACTAGTAATTTCCCATGTAAGAAATTCCAAATTTTTGTTCACCCGAGGTTTGTGGTTGAATTTATGCTTCTTTATCTTCTTTTTCCTCCTTAATTATGTTTTTAGCTTGTCAACTTGTTTAGGTTTGATTAATTCGAGTAGGTTGATTGTTGGTATTTTCTATTTTATGAACACACAGATAATTAAAATGGAGATAAAAATTCACGTAGGGTAAAAAGAAGAAGGTTACTACTCAGTTACATTGACCAATTGACTTGTGAAAGTCTTTGAACAAAAACTAATACCAAAGCCTGTTTTTATTAAAGAAATGTTTTCATAGACATACTAAATTATAAATTTTTTTATCCGAAATAAGAAAGGGGAGCTTTGGCGTAACTGGTAAAATTGTTGTCATGTGACCAGGAGGTCACAGGTTCAAGCCGTGGAAACAGTCTCTTGCAGAAACGCAGGGTAAGGCTGCGTACTATAGACCCTTGTGGTCCGGCCCTTCCCCGAACCCCGCGCATAGTGGGAGCTTAGTACACCGGGCTACCTTTTTTTATCCGAAATAACTGAAGTTTTCTATTTACCAAAATTTGCTGGATTTTTTCTACAAATTATATACATTCCATCTAGTATTTCAAAAGGCGGGGGCGTTTTACTTAATACGAGGCGAGGCGAAAGCCTCGAGACATAGGGCGTAAGCCCCCAATGATCTTTAATTTATTAAATTTATGAATTAATAATATAGTATTATAACACAAAAAAAATATAAAAGATACATTAAAAGTTCAAAAAACTAAAAACAATTAAAGAAACTCAAATAAAATAAAATATTTAGCATATTTTACAAGTATAAATAATATAATATTATTAAAGTTACTAGAAAATATAAATTAACTATAACTTCTTAACTTTCAAACAATTAAAAATTATAATTTCTTAAAAAATATTATCAAATTGCATATTTTATCTCTTTAAAAGTAAATACTCACCATGCAGAAAAAGCCTTTTAAAACACTAAGTCCATCTAAGTAGACTCCTTCCAACCGTATATTACATATTTATATCCGGGATTAACGCACCCATTTCCCCTTACGCTCATCCCTCTCCTCTCTCTCTTCTTCAAAGAATCAATTCACAGCAATTAGTCGTGAGCTCATGTTGGAATCACAGTACCCACCTACCCCCAAAAAAAAAATGTGCTGAACCAAAATAGGGCTCTTTGAAATCCTAACATTTTCTTACTGCTGCGTCTGTCTGAAAGTTCAGTTTTCCTAACTCTTAATCGTCTCCCTTCAAAGAATTGATAACATCTGTAAAAGCATACTTCATAATAGAATAATCTCTCTCGAGGAGTTATATCGAGCCATGGACTCTTTTATAAGACTTCAAAAAATTTCGCAAGAAATCTCTTAGGTCGAAGAGGAGAGATACGGTCGAAATCGGGCATATCCAATTTCGTTAGTAGGGGAGTTGCCTCGAGGGTAACCTCATAATAGATCGGGCTCGAGCTCGAAGATAGAACATTAAGCCTGGAGATCGAAGTGTTCGTTGAGATTGAGGCTAACAACAATCGAGATCAAGCATGACTGACTTCGAGTAAGGCGTAATAACGGAATGGCGAAATATCAGTAACCGGTCGAAGATCACGGCGGAAATTCCGGAACAGATCAAATCAAAGTGGTTATTAGTGTTAATCATGGGATCTACTTTCGTTATTAGAGTTGTACCTTATTTAGGATTCCTCTATTATATAAAGTGGGATTCCATTCACTTGTAAGGGGACAAGAATTATTCACTAATAAGAATATACACACACGCTGCTTTCTTTGTTTTACTGTTCATCGATGTTTGTTTCATCCTCTACTGTTCTTATTAACTAACCTCGAGACTATCTCGAATCGAGGTCGAGGCATTGTTTGCAGACCGGTTTGATTTATTTTATTGTTCAATTTATCTATTTAATTAGTTGTTTATCAATTGGTACTGGTTTAAATCACATATCCTTAAAACCACAATATAAGTTTAATTGTTACTCAATTTTCAGGGTAAATAGTTTGGCGCCCACCGTGGAGCTAAGGATAATAGTGATTGTTCAATACTGATTATGGTAAAACACACTATTTTACGCTTGTTCTTGTCAAGTATCTTTGCTTTCAGGTTAAAACATGTCAAACTCACAAAACGCATCCACACACGGTGACAATGGCCTCGGATTCCAAGGTGAAAACGAAAATGTGATTGCTCCGAGAGTCGAGGTGCCACATGATAATCTCAGGGGAGCACCGGTTGCCAACCCAGTCGATGTCAGTTCGCACGTTGCTTTAAACGCGGACCTAGGCGCAAATCTCGATGGGAGTGTACACAGAGAAGGCCGATCTAGTGGCCAAGGAACACAGGGCAGAGGAGACGAAGGAGTCAGTCTCCAAGTGATATTCGAGATGCTTCAGGCTCAGTAAGCTGCTATTGCTCAGTTACAAAATCAACATAGAGCTCCGAATAGGGTTGAGTTGGAAATTACTCGCCGTACCGAGCCAGTACCGGAAAGGTCAAATAGTAACGAATCGGGGACTGATCCTGCGGTAATGAAAATGCTCGAGGAGCTCACCAAAAGAATTGAATCAGGAGAGAAGAGAATCGAACCCAACGATAAAAAAATGGAGGCATACAACTCTTGAGTTGATCAGATATTGGGGGCACCGCCAATCTTGAAAGGGATGGATTCGAAGAAGTTTGTACAAAAGTTGTTTCCTCCGAGTGCGGCTCCGAAGCCTATTCCAAAAAAGTTTCGTATGCCAAACATACCCAAATATAATGGGGCCACCGATCCCAACGAGCATGTTACTTCATATACATGTGCCATCAAGGGTAACAATTTAGAAGATGATGAAATCAAATATGTGCTGTTGAAAATATTCGGAGAGACCCTTTCGAAGGGAGCAATGATTTGGTATCACAACCTGCCACCAAATTCTATCGACTCATTTTTCATGTTAGCAGATTCTTTCGTAAAGGCACATGCCGGGGCCATAAAGGTCGCAACAAGGAAATCGGACCTTTTCAAGGTAAGACAAAGGGATAATGAAATGGTAAGGGAGTTCGTGTCCCGATTTCAAATGGAACGTATGGAGTTGCCACCGGTCACAGATGATTGGTCCGTTCAAGCTTTCACCCAAGGGTTGAACGAGCGGAGTTCGATAGCATCACGTCAGTTGAAACAAAATTTGATCGAGTATCCAGTTGTAACTTGGGCAGATGTGTAGAATCGATATCAATCGAAGATCAGGGTCGAGGACAACCAATTAGGAGCCCCTTCCGGTTCAGTACATCCAAATAGGTCGGCAGTTAAAAACGAGAGGACATCGACAGGAAGCCAAGGCCAAACAGAGACCGATATCA